TGCGGGTGTATACGAGGAAACGATTTTGCAAGATGCTAGACGAATGTACTGTGTACGATTTGAGCTCAAGTTGGTTGAGTTACGAGTAGTAAATCGTAGGTATTCTAAGGCTAGTAAATGACGAATTTCCCTTGTTTATTGAAGTCACTCCTTCCCTATTATCTACTTCTGATATTATGATGGTTAACCACGTATAAATAATATCTGATGAAAAAAAGGACACTCATGAATTTGTTCTGAACAGCAACATGAGTAGCAAGCTTCATGACTCAGCAAAATATCCAAAACAAGAGAACAAAACACCACTTGTAAAGGTTTGTTTTGTTGCATGATCGGTAGATAAGTAATGTTTCCGACGTGTTTTCCATGAGAACGTTTTAATAGGTAATTAATATAAAATACAACATCACTATAATGGAAATTCTTTGTGGGAATGCGTTATTTTCATTTTGTTCTTAAAGTTAAGAGGAAATTTTGCGAGGATTTTTCGTTCTCATAACTGAGAATGATATTTCTGTCAACGGTTTACGAGTCAGAGTTAATGTTAAGACTAATGTTAAGCCTCATTTTGTTTCTGACAACGGGCCCCAGATGTAACCAGTTTTTTAACCATAAAACTTCACACATATAACAATTATACAACTAAAATTATAATGGGGCCTTCAATGTAATGTCAAACGAACTAGTATACAGCCTAGAAGCTTTGAAATGGTCACCAAGTAGTTCAATGTTAATGAGGCAATACACTGCTTGCAGATAGCAAACAAACTATTGATTAGTAATAAGGAAATTTAGAAAAAAAAACTAGGTTTTGTTCCCTTCAGAAGTGGATAAATATGATACAGTGCTCAAGGTATCCAGTGACGAAAATTAACACTTGTACCAAAATTCCATCGTGAAGTCACTCACAATGTGAGGGTTTGTGTGAACATGTAAACATTCCACAATCAGTGGAAGCACTGTTTTGAATGTTACAATTTAGCAAATATAATTCACTAACTGTTTCCTAGGGTCCCAATACATTTATTAACCCTAGCATATAAGCTACTCCAACCTACATTTAAAACTGCTAAGAAAATATTGGAAAAGATTTCAGACTTCTTGCAGTTCTTTCCCAAAAATATTTACTTTGATCTTTAGGCTTATAATGCATAATATGATAATAGAATGTCATTTTAGTGTCAATTTCTAACAACACGAATTGTAAACTTCGGTCCTTCGCGTGACAAGCTGGGCCCCTAATAATTTTACCTCAGGGGCACGGGCGTCTACTCCCTTGTTGGGCAAGTTTTCGTCACTGGGTATATTTGGAGGAGGCTAACCAATGTTAGTGATTATAGACAAGAAGGTTAACAACATTATATTATATTGCACAGTTTGCACTATGTGCCAAAATAAACAAGAAATTAAAAAGAGTCAGATCTACAGTAAGAACAAAATTAGGAACATTACTGACAGCATTGCTTCAACAATGATTCACATTTCTTTGGGAGTACGTTCGAAAAATGAAAGTTTAGGTGTTGAACAGATTTTGAGAGAGAAAGAGAAGAAAGAGGGGATATATATATATATATATATATACACATACACTTATAATAGGTATAATATATAACATACAGATGTACGTACATTGGGTTGCCGCCAACCTACCTGCCGGTTGACTAGCAGGGGACTGGTTTGTGAGGATGGTAGCGCCACTTGTAGGCATACTGCCTGTAGGCATATAGTAGTCCACACCCTGAGATGTGCCAGGCTGACCCATTTGACTTTGATATTGGCTAAATGATGGTCCGGTTCCTTGTAGAAAATTGGGCTGCTGCTGCTGCTGCTGTTGCTGACTCGGATAGGAAGCAGGTCTTTGCAACTGAAAAGACATGGTTCATCATGACACTAGGTAAAAACAGTTTCCATGGTTATGATTTTTCACACATTACTCAATGATCAATATGGATTAGTACCCTCTGACAGCAAATGATTCACAAGATATTTATATGACCCATATGTCGAGCTTGGTAGGGCAGGTATCAAAGGGTAGACCGCTAAATTGATAATGCTCAAGTGAAGCCATCAAAGTATCTACTGCACACAATCTGTTTCAACAATTTTTCATCAGCACTACTTTTCCTCATTATATTTTGACTTGCAAAATTTTAGCCTGGACGAACTATAATAATTTTACAGTGTAAAAAATGAAATAAAATTAACATTTTTAACATAAGACTGAAAATGCACGCGCTCATGTAAACGCACCAAAAAAAAAGCACAAAAATTTGCAACAAAAGTAGCAAAACCTGAAATCACTTACTGCTACTCCTGGCTGTGGATTGTTCATATAGAAAAATGAATGGGGTACCATGGCCTGGCCAGGTAACAGCTGTGGGCCAGGGTACATCTGTTGCTGCTGTATCCCTGGCCCACCAGGAGCCTGCATCTGTTGCCGTGGGCCCATCGCTTGTTGCCTTGACGTATAATACGCGTTCTGAAATTGCAAAAAAACACAACGTGCTTAGTAAAACGTACCGACTACTGCTCGTGACCCATACACAACACGCCGTCAGTCAGTGCAGAAGATAGACAACGCGACAAACAACCGACGACTTCTGCTATCAACTTCTCATTTTCCTTAAAAAAACGAGAAAAACCTACTGTGTTCGACGGTGGCCGCTGCATCTGCTGCTGTTGGTACATCTGGTTGCTCGCCTGGCTGGAGGTAACCATGTTGGGGCCCTGCGGCGGCGTCGACCCTTGCATGGCCTGAGCGGCGAGCTGTTGCGCGTTCATGTCATGGGAGCCGATGGCAGAACCCGGTATCTGTATAGGAACTGCTTGCCGGACCTGTCCATACACAGACGACGCAGGCACGTACATGAAAATGCAACGAGAATTCCAAGCATCGATTCTCAGGCAAAGGGGAAGGACTGTCTTCTTGGAAGTGTGTCACACAACTTGCATTTCTGTGCACTAAAATGCAGTGTCTGGGGTGGCAGCCATACACCCACAGGCACTTGGACCGTTTCAATAATAAAATGATGGTTAATAAATACAACTTGTCAGTAGCCTACTACTACAGTACCAGCAATAGTCTTAATGTTTGATTTGACCTAATAACTTCACTTCAACACCGTTAAATACACCGATGCAACACATAGCCCGCACGCCATTGTGCATGCACAGATACACAGTAGATAGGAGAAGGTAAGAAAGCGTGTTCACAGAAATTCCAGAACGCTCCACTTTTGTCGCAGCACTAGAGGAGAAATACACGTCCAAACGCCATGATATTGCCATCTGTGTGTAGCTGAATGGTCACTTGTTCGAAATATACGTCTTGCAACTTGGTACCACACACTTTACCCAGAATTATATGAGAAATCCTGTTCGAATTTGCCGCAAATTTCCCATGAAGCCGATTTGTAAACCGGACCAACATGCCGGAAATCCCTAACTGCTCTATTATATCCTTTGACCAATCACGATAGTCGCCCGTGTGACGTCACTTTGCGCGAAATACGACAGCCGCGAAATGCGCCGGCGGCGAGGCATCCGGGTACCCTGGGGTTGGCGTCGAGGCTCGTTTTGGAGTTGGGCAGGCGGATGCAACTCCTCCCAGAGTGCAATGCGCCGCCATTGCTCATGTACTTGTCCGGTTTACAAATCGGCTTCATGGGAAATTTGCGGCAAATTCGAACAGGATTTCTCATATAATTCTGGGTAAAGTGTGTGGTACCAAGTTGCAAGACGTATATTTCGAACAAGTGACCATTCAGCTACACACAGATGGCAATATCATGGCGTTTGGACGTGTATTTCTCCTCTAGTGCTGCGACAAAAGTGGAGCGTTCTGGAATTTCTGTGAACACGCTTTCTTACCTTCTCCTATCTACTGTGTATCTGTGCATGCACAATGGCGTGCGGGCTATGTGTTGCATCGGTGTATTTAACGGTGTTGAAGTGAAGTTATTAGGTCAAATCAAACATTAAGACTATTGCTGGTACTGTAGTAGTAGGCTACTGACAAGTTGTATTTATTAACCATCATTTTATTATTGAAACGGTCCAAGTGCCTGTGCATACACCTGACTTAATTTTACGTAAATAAATATTTACACTTCACTTGTTCACTGACACACATACCACACACAGTGCTGACCACTGAAGGAACAAAAGGAAAAAAGTAAATATTCTAAACAGTGGCACAAACACAGAGCACACAAAATTTAAAGTGTAGAAACCTGAAACTGTGACACGACCTAACGCACGGCACGCTGAAATGCAACTGTGATAAGATGCAGTGCAGCGCAGCACGCCACCAAAGAGCCTTTCATTCGTTCGCTTTCCACCCACCCCTTAAACTCACAAGGAGGATCAGACACTTCAAGTGAGTAATGTGTGGCGCCACGATGAACAAAGCAGAAGCCCAGAAACATTGACGACTGGTCATTTAAACCGAGTATAGCACATGGTTGCAGACAGGGGGTGACACGTGCAGGTATCAGCAAAGCTGTCTGCTGACTCCAGTGCAGCCAGCCTCTTCCAGACAGGGCACAGAGAGCGAGAGAGCGAGAGAGCAAGAAAGCAAAGGTGACATATGCCAGTGCTCACATGCCATGGCCGGCCGACCAACCGCCCACCCATGCCTGGCCCAGCCATTCTTACAATGAAGCTCGGCGACTTAAAGCAAATAAAAACTCGGTAGCATCGAATAACTGACCGCAGAGCTGAAACTAGAGGCAAACCACTGACGTGTGCCGTGAGCAGCCCCTTGGACCCAAGACGGCACGGCACGAAGGACTAGTGATGGGAATCGGCTGGAATTTCATAACCGATTATCGGTTTCCCTTAACCGATCAATAATCGATTATAATCGGATAATTTGTTAATAATTGCATAGATTTAATTTAATCTTACTTTGTATATACAATTATACATAGCATTCAATATTATCATGTTTTATGATCATGTATTAACTCTGTGAAGGTTGCTGTATGTATATCAATGTCTGTTCCTATACAGTATTTAATCAATTTAAAAAAAAATGGTTTAAATGCCTTTATTAAAACATTAAAAGTTTTAAACAAACATGATCAAGACTTGTTCTTTATTATAGTAAGTAAGTTGTTTGTGTTCTAATAGTGTAGGCTATGTAGCCGAGTTAATGTCCTGCCAATGGAATATCCTCGCTAACACAATGTAACAAACAATACGGAGAGTAGAACCTCATCTACTGATAACATCTGTGGGACAGTGTCAAACCAAAACAAAGATTATTCCGATCTTAAAAAAAAATAAAAAAATTATCGATTTAAAAAAAAAGAAGCTATTTCCGATAATCGATTATTTGTTTTCATAATCGATTATCGAATTTGAGACTATAATCGATCGATTTTCGATTATAATCGATCATCGGGACATCACTACGAAGGGGCGAGAGCAAGTACGTTTGTGTGCACACTGGGTACATGCACGGCGTTTATCGTCACATCGAGTACAGCTGTGCAAGAGGGAGCCGCTGGAGATGACTTTACTCGAGCAGCACTTCCTTCGACCCCCAAACAGCGAGCCAACTACGATGCAAGCCGAGGGACAGCATGCACGCGTGCGCGTACACCTCACGAGCACCTCCCACACTGCTCTCTCACCGTGTAGAAGGACAGACCGGAGGAATCGTAGAACGCGGTGATGTGGGGGGTGTGAGCGCGCTGTGGGTACGTCTTCCAGCGGCCGTACTGCATCCTCCCTTTGTCTGCCGCCATTGTTTTCGGGGCTTCTGCCAAGTTAGTAACTCTTGAAAGAAACACCACCCGCAAACATCTGTACAGCTTGGTCAACGCCACACCTGGTCAATAATGGAACTATCTTGGCACACCAACTCTCAACAAGCCCCAACCCCAGCATGTGTATATGCTGTACCAAGGTCTCCCAGATGCTGGAACCTACGTTACTATGGGAGCTTTAGACAAGTGCTGCAGACAAACACTGGTGGCTTTATCCATCTACATGCAGTATTCACCTTTTTGTTGCATTGTTCATCTCAAGTACTTATGTTTGATGATACAAGAAATTTATGCCGGAACTACAATGTTAAGTTTATAATAAAAGACCTAAGGACTGAGGAGGCAATCATCAAGATTGATGCAAGCGAATTCATTATTGATATCCAAAGAAATCTCGTAAATTAACCAGAAGACAACAAGTCTGCTTAGACAGACAAAATGTGCAGACACCAAAGAATGTGATCACATCACAAACTCTAAAATAAGAAAGCCACTCAACAATCGATGGATGTGAAAAACAATGCACATTTTGTAATGTAACACTGGATCAACACTAAACATTTAGAAAATGAATTAAAGTAAGGTATGAATTTCGAGAACCCTGGAGATCACCTAATCTGTAATTGTGTTTGTGTGTGTGTGTATCGACTGTTATGCTACTGTTGTGAGTGACCACGAAATGACAGGCACAAGTGTACTCAATATTCACATATGATTGTTCCCACCACTCTCCGTTGTGACCTTATGCCAAGTTTAGGTTAAAACGGTTATTGCAAGATTTTTGCTCAGAAAAACTAAATAAAGCTGAATATATAGTCTCACCTGACAGCGGAAATACCACTGATTACACCAACATGAAAAATACTAAGATTTTATGCAGTTATAAGCATAGAAAAATGGATTTGACCACATCGTAACAGCAATAAATTTTATCGTATGCCGATAATGCCTAATGGCAGAATTGGTAAACTTGTATTTGTGTCGGTGATGAATTGAAAACAAGTGCATGCCTGGTACTTAGCTCTATGGCAGATAGTGGTGGCGCCCACAGCTAATCCATACTTCCTGTTAGTTCAAGATGACAGAAAACGAATGTTTACAAAAACGATTAGTTCGAACTGGCAGTTTTCGGTGAATACGAAGGTTCTAAAAGGTATTTGTTTACCGCTAATTTAAGTAATCCGATATTAATCCAGAAACAAAAAGTGGCTACAAATTAGTGGCTTATTATTAGTTATTAGTGGGGTAATTAGGCAATTCACACACTCACAAATCAAACTCACAATTTTAAAAGAATAAGCATGGGTAACAAGACATCTAGGCTACAGCATAATATGCATCGCAACTCTACGCCATTGCATAAGTCTACGCGCACAGCGAGTCATCAATAACTGCAGCACTAGATATGTATTACACACTAGTGACACTATAGCCTCAAGTAGCTGCAGAGAGTCACAGCAGGATTGTCTGTCTAACATCGTGATATCGATCAATAGTTGGGCTAGCCACAAGCATACACAGACTACGCACTACACACACACACGCACGCACGCACGCACGCACGCACGCACGCACGCACGCACGCACACACGCACACACACACACACATGCACACAGTAAGCCTGTAATTTATTTGCCACCCATCCAAACAAACCCAATCAAATAGGTGGCAAGAATATTATCACAAGATGCAGATGGTCACCACATGGTGTCTGTCCACGTGGTCCTGGGTCACATAAAATATTTGTAAATACCTGGTGGTAGGGCGAAGGTTGGTGATAGTTCGCTCGGCTGTAATCTTCGGGTCCTGTAAATAGACCAGAATGCACAAGGGTTAGCGCTAGAGCACTCAACCTGTATCAATTTAACATGCTTCTAAGAACCAGCATAAAAAATCGAGACTAGATGGTCTTTGTCAACCGCTCATAATTTCTGAGTCACTTGCTTCCTGAACCAGAGATTTTGTTTTACCTTGCACTATTTTACTCATACCCAAAATACCCTTTGAGCCGCTTCTTGAACATCTTCACTTAAAAACATTAAAATAAAAGGCAAACCCCTAAATATTAGGTCCAATAATAGGCCTAGAAAAATCTACTGACAAATACGAATTTATAGTATTAATATACAAGATATTAATAGTGCTCAGTATTCACGATTCGGACTTGTTTATTTTCTTAAATTCTAACTGGCTGGGAGAGCCGTCATATTCTAACCATCAGCATTATCCATTTTGCAAGAACACTACTCAATGCTATAATGAAATGACAGCTATAGTAAATAAACAAAGATAAATGTCACCAAACACTTTGGTTAACATTTAATCTTAAATCCAATGAGCAGCTAATGAAAACCCACCTTCAACACAATCCACGCAGACGTTGGCTTTTACTTTTTAAATTATAAGAATGTTATTCTTAATACAGCTTACATTTACTACGAGGTGACAGAGCAAATGAAACGAGCAAAGCACTTGTACTTACTGTGTTGTGGTGGTGGAGGTCCCCTTTGTGAAATGCTGGAAATGTCTGGTTAAGGAATACAGTGCATACACCAAAATACTGTCTAGATTGCTATTTTTTCACCTTGCTATTGCTACCTGCTTATTTTTTCCTTTTACTTTCTCGAACCAGAATAAGCTCATATAAATAACGGTAGAAAAACTTATATACACCAAAACTACTGACACTATATGCATGGAACTACCTACTTACTGTTACACTTTATAAAAATTGAATAAACCATATTCACGCCATATACACGTTCCTTTCAGCAAGCATGATCACTAGACGGTGATTTTCCGCGATGACAGAAAACGGACGGAAAACACGGAAACGGCCATTGGAAACGAAAAATAGTGGAAAACGTAATTTGAACATATTACAACATAGAAATTTCAATAAAATCACAAAAAACAGTCAACAATAGCATTGCCATTGGTAATGATATGGTTTACATTCAGACAAGTTTCAGAGCGAAATGACTTACAATTACGACTTTTGGTAGCCCTGTGTTTCGGTGCCGGTTCCGGTTTCAAAGGTTGTACTGGTCAAATACTTTTTTTTTCATACAAATATATGTAAACAGAATTTTGCATTTTTCGTGTTTACAATCTCTATGGCAAAACGGAATTTTCATTTTTTCTTTACTTTGGAACGGAATTCATGATTTTTCCCAAACGGAAAAGGCAATTTTTTGAAACGGAAAATCACTGTCCCTAGCTCAAATAAAAGCTCTAACAGTTAAAGCATACTAAATGACATATATACATTCATTCACGATAGACAATAACATATGCTACGTTTAGAAAAAGGAAACATATTGCATTGGAGTGATACCTGCTGGTTGGTAATCATATGTCCCACCATCTTTACTCATATCTATTACCACATGGAAATTCTTCTTCACAAACAATAACCTCTCAGAATAGTAAATATCAACGCAGCTGCTAAACCGACTTCGCAATTTCTTTGACCGCTGGATGTACACGAGTTGTGCGCTGCGTCGCTATCACACTGTCGATTGCGCAACTATCAGCAGCAATGCGCACACAGCTCCATCTATTGGCAATAAACCGTAACTACGAATCTGGGCCTAACCGGGTCATCCAACGGAGACGAGTGCGAGTTATGGTGTGCTGCGCGGCCTCTACCCATCAATTTCGAAAAGCACATATGCTTGCTGTTAACCGCAGACAATAGGCAATTCTTCTCTGAAATGAGCTAGTGTGCTAATACTTCCAGAACAGAATCAGGACGGCAACAGATAAATGTCTGAACATGTATAGTCATCAATGTAATAAATGCAATAAGAAACTGCCTGTCACTTACTATATATAAAAGAAAGGAAATCAAATCTTTACAAAAAACAACAACTATGAGTCTATAAAGTACTATTAAAATGTATCCGAGGTGTGGGCTATATACACATCGCTTGCACGTAAGCTCCCTAACCCTGCATACTAATCCATAGTCACACAGGCAAAATCAAACAGCAATTTTAGAAGGCAATCAAATAGAGATATATATGAAGATGAATATAAAAATCATGACCTACCAATTACAATCCACAACACTATAATTATACTATATAACACAAACAAGAAATGCCTTGCTCGCTAGCTGGTAGCTTTGTTTAGCATGCAAATTTAACAAGACAAACATACATTTGATACACCTACAATGGAATACACTAAAATTCATTCAACATTGAATGTTTCAGCTTAAATTGTGAATCTGACCCTCTCTTATCAGAATTAGACCCCTAATTATGGGACACAGCGGCAGTTGGTAAAAACTACTGCTCATTATTTAGAAGTAACTTTTTTAATTTTTAATAAACCATCACATTATGCAGGGTGCGAAATTAACGGGAGTCCGGAGTCAAATACTCCCCGATTTACTGTCGGACTCCCTGATTTGACATATGCTGGAGTCCGTGTGACTCCCTGAAAATTCTGCCATACTAACTATAGTTTGTTCCGAGGCACGGCCTCGCGGAATTACTCTATTTTTTTCAGCTAATGTTCAAAGTAAATTTGGCAGACGTGCAACTGCATGAATCTTAAAAATTAGCACATGCGTTATTGTTAATATCTTTAATTTTGAACCTCAGGCTACAGACTCCCTCTTTTTGAGGGTAGGTATCCAAGGTCCAAGGTACCCTTTTTGAGGGTAGGTATGGAGGGAGGGTCCAATGTTCAAAAGTTAATTCTACCCGGGCTGTTATGTATGCACTTAAATGCTTTGTTCTATTGTTTCCATGCATAGTGGATCTAATTATAGGTAATCAAGAAATCAACGCTCTCATGTAGTGCTTATATGTCACGCATTATGCACTTATACAATTTTATGTATCAACCTAGGGACAGTGATTTTCCATGATCGCGGAAAACGGACGGAAAACACGGAAACGGCCATTGGAAACGGAAAAGATGTTTTCAAACAGAAAAACGCGGAAAACGTCATTTGAACATATTACAAGGAAATTTCAATAAAATCACAAAAAAACAGTCGACAATAGCATTGGTAATGAAATGGTTTACATTCAGACAAGTTTCAGAGCGAAATAACTTACAATTACGACTTTTGGTAGCCCTGTGTTTCGGTGCCGGTTTCGGTTTCAAAGGTTGTACCAAATACTTTTTTTACCATGCAAATATATGTAAACGGAATTTTGCATTTTTGGTGTGTACAATGAATCTCTATGGCAAAACGGAATTTCCATTTTTTCTTTACTTTGGAATGGAATTCATGATTTTCCCAAACAGAAAAGGCAATTTTTTGAAACGGAAAATCACTGTCCCTATCAACCCAGACAGAGTTTCAAAGAATGATGCTAAAAAGGATGACACACTGCATTATTGCAGTATCTGCTGGCCAACGAACGTACATTGTTTGATGATTTTGTTCAATATCAACCAAAACATTCAGCTTGTAAATAAGTAAATAAACATAGTTACAGCTTGGACTATGAAACTATCGCACATCCGTTAGATATTTAGAAGGCAAGCTATTACTGCAGCTCCAATGAGTTCTAATGTGATTTAATCTTAAGTATATTGTAAACTAAACCCCTTAGTTTTTGTAAGAAACTCCTAAATTTTAAAAAAGCTACTGCCTCTCCAAGAACTCCAAAAATCCACTCTAAAATTTCATTTTCTCTATTAAACATGTTGCAAATTAATAGACGATAATTCAACCAGCGAATGCCCGTCAGTCATACCAGCTGGTAAGTTATTGAATATTCCCTTGTGAACTATCCGTTCAGCGATAGTAAACCCACGAGTCCCGGCACTTTTCTCATGCACAGTGCCACGTCAACGCACGGCACCATACGGCCATGAATACGCACTAGATGATGATTGAACAGCCGTCAAATTATAATTGATCCAGCGACAATGATTACGTGAAATTATGATATGACATAAATAGGTCAATGCAATCGGTTATAAATTAAAAGAAACAGACCCATTCTGAGTACTCAGAACTGAATATATCATGTGAAATGATGTATGACCTTGATCGTTTGTGGGGAGTGTTCATATTCATGACTATAGAATACACATGTGCGAAATAAAGTGCTCCTTACCCACCTAACGAAATGCAGAGAAAAGCGCACCAAGATATCTTATGAGAAATTAATACTTTAAAAGTTCGCCCACCAATGGAGGAGCCATCATCATGCATGTGCAAATAATATCCACCGTTTGAAACCTGATTGCTAACAAAGCGTTCCCATTCGCTTCACTCCTTCCCACGCATACTGCGCGCAGAACTGGTTGCTTCCTAGTCAGTGGACAGAGTAGGGACTTCCAACCAAAGAAAAAAAACGGTAGTTAGACAGCACAACGACATGCCAGACTGCAAAAATTGAGTGAGACCGCTCCTTAGCACACGAATACCAAACAGATGCCACGGCTATACTGTAATAAGATCTGCCACGACTTTGACATAACCCCGCCTGTCTTACGCCCAGCACACACGCATACATACGCACGCACGCACGCACGCACGCACGCTCACGCTCACACACACACAAACACGCACGCACGCACGCACGCACGCACGCACGCACGCACGCACGCACACACGCACACACACACGCACACACACACACACACGATGTACAATCACGTCGCGCACAAGCACACTTCGTTTCGCACAGCTCAAAAACTTCAGTGTAGACTCGTACACCCCAGACCAAAATCGATAATATTTTCAGAAGACAGTTTACCGCTGAGTCTTACATGCGGCGCTACCGGCTTGTGCACTGCAGCTGTATTACTAACTAACCAATCGGCTAGGCTTGTATATTTGCAAGTGTCCTTCCTAAACAGCTACCTATATTCTCCTGCGTAGTAGTCCTGTCACTCCGCACGACCAGTCTCCTCGCTGTGTACCTCACGTCCCTTGCTGCCGTACCTCGTGAACCACATGGCACTAACACCATGAGGTAGCTCACTCCACAAGTCACCCCCACCCCTAGATCTAGAACTATAGCCCTTCGCTCTGCCACAGCCGAAGCCTGGGGTTCTAGAGCTACCCCACCCCGTACCCTACAATCCTTCACGGCTCCACACTGCCCACCTCACGACCCAGCCATCACCGACCTCCTACTGTACCTCACAACCAGTCAGTCACATTCGTTCCGAAATAGATATTCTCACAATTCAGCCACCACATAGACTAAGACACAAGCACCAATAGGAAATGGCAAAAAAGAGTCATGCCCCGCCAACGCATCATCCCGCCAACGCATGTCCATTAATTTAAATGTCTAGATATTTATCATATTATTCGGCAACTTTATTTGACTAGTGTGAAGTCTGTATCAGTGAATAATTTATAAGGCCGTGCCTACGTGTATTTCACAATCTTCTCCGAACCAACTAGTCTGAATACATGTGCACCACATGTGCCTCTTTTTTGGCTAGTGTTCATCAAGACATGTCACTGTAACTTGTAAGTGTAAACATGAGCAGAATTTCGTACTGTACGTAGGAACATTTTAATTCAGCAGCTCTTTTTACAGGAAAGTCTCGATAGTCGATACATAAATGGTTTATGCCTGCGCAGAGAGAAATGACACGTGTCCGCTAGATTATCAAATGTATACTGCAATGGTTAATACGATTCCTCGTTCCCCATCTTCCCTACTTTTCCCCTCCCTCCCCCTGCTCTGTCTCACTGACTCACTCTCACCCCTCTCACTACCCCCTTCAGGATGCTGCTTGGCAGTGCCACTGACCGGTGTGCAGGGATCAGTGCACGATTGATCGATAAAGCTCCTCGCTCACTGCTCAGCAGTGTTACTCCAGACAGCCACACAGCTCACACAGCCCAGCCCTCCCTACACTAGCGGCTAGCCCAGACAACAGCAACAACCAGGCTTACAGACTCACTGCATGGCAAAGGCATCATTGATTTTGCAGTGGTATAGACTTTTTGGGACCATATCGAAACTGCAAGATCAAATGAAACGCACTTCTGTAAGAATTTCAAATTGTCAGAAAACATTGTTGCTCTAACACACTGCAGTTGTGGAGGAGGACCCCAGCCGTAGTTCCTAGTATGCAGATCTACGCTTCTTACTTTGCAGTCACTGTCCTGGTGCGAGATTTAGTCTCCACAAGCACCCAGTTGTGCAAACAAGATTAGATGACACTAATGTCGTAAATTTACATTTAAAAACAGCAGACACGTGCCCGTGTGCATCGCTGCCACGTGCACAGGTGAGATCAAGGTGGCATGCCACAGCATGTAGCTGCAGTGTTACAACGGGCCCACACCTGTCCAAAAAGAGAGCACAAAGGCACGCCATTTACGAACTGTATAAGTCGCCTTTGGGCAGAGCGAGGGAAGGCTACCAGACCCTTGGGACATGGGCCACCTGTTACCTATGCGAGTGCATACACCGGAGGGGGGGGGGGTACAGTAGTGCACGTCTGTGATAACGAACCTTGTAAACTGGCAGTGCATGAAGTTTGTGCTACATACAAGAGGATGAGTGCCAGTTCACAGATCTGTGTCTATAGTGATCCACCACCCCCTCACACACAAATGAGCGTGCACGCACCTCTTTTGCCCTGCGAGGGGACAACCATTATAGACGATCAACCATTTTTCTTATATATTTTCAAATCTGACATTTGTAATGCACACTCACTACATTCACCAGCAGTCTTGTTGCCTGGCAATTCAGTCAGTGCCGCGCAAGGTCGCACATCGATAAGCACGCGACCCATCTGTGACCCCACACGAACAAAAGGACACCGGCACACGCGTGCCACCTGTCTACGGGCAGGCCAACACTGCCTGCCTCCTCCCTGTACAACGTCTCATCCAACTGCGCCAAGGGTGAACAGAGTGACCGAAACACGGCCGCCTCCGTGGCAGACAGCCAGCGACGTTCCCTTTTCAAAACGCGCTCCCGCCATAAACAGCGTCTTGTTCGCCACGAGGGCTGGTCACGTGTGGCGGGCGAACACCAAT